CTTCAGACCTTCAGGACCCGGTCTACCTGGATCACGTTACTATTGGAGTTCTTGAGGTCGGAGCTGACTTGGACGCTGAAGAAGGGCTGAGCTCCGAACCGACCTGACACCATCTTCAGAACCTCCATGAAGTTGTCTTTGCCCCATGGACCTGTCACGTTCCAGCCCCCAATCTGAGACAGAASMAACAAACYGGGTTAGCAGACTGAGATCTCTTCTGTTGGACCAGCAGGTWCTGGATCAGAGGCTGGACCTGGTCCTTCGTCGTTCTTCCTTGGATTGTTTTTGTTTTTTTATTGAATTACAGGAAGTAGTCTGAAGCATTGGAGGGCAGGGATGAAGGGATGCAGTTACCGTGGAGACAGGAAGTGTGGGCGGTTACCTTGGTGATGAGGTCCACGAGCGGCTGAGCTCCCAGATCCTCGATCCTCTGYGTGTTGAGACAGGACAGGTAGTAGGACTGAGTCTTCCTCTCTGCCTCGCTGCTGCCGATAAATGTCTTGTTCTCTGAGGAGGAGAAGAAAAACCATGAGAGCTGGACGGGTCTGGTCTGGTCTGGTCCAGTCCGGTCCATCCCTCCTGTCGTACCCAGCAGGTGTTTGAGCAGTGCCTGGTTCTGCTCCCAGAGAACGTCGAAGGTGTCCCAGCGAGSGTGTCCCTGAGGCAGAGGGTTCTTCCTGATCCAGCCCCCGCAGGAAAACTGGTAGAAGTCCTGGCAAGGGTCTGCACTGCGGTCCATCGCCTCCATAATCTGACTTGTCACTGTGATGCATGTCGGAGACAGGCAAAGGCCAGGCCCACTGTCTGCAGGACAACATGGATGACAGGTTGACCATTAAAGGTTGGATCAAACGGAAAACATGACAAAGAGAAGGACAGAAACTGAAACCAGAGATCCAGGAGGAGGCAAAAAAACAATAGGGCACAAAAGAAGATGAGACAAACTAGGACAGAAGCTCTCTGGGTACCTGAGCTGGATCCAAGTCCCAGAACAACCAGGCAGGCCACCAGAGACAGCCGGAAGACCAGTAGCATGACTGAGAGCACAACCTCCAACTGGGTCCTTCTGCAAAAGATGTCAACGCCCCCTTTCCTGAAGCCCACCTGAGGACCAGAGAGGAGGAGCTTACCTGGAGTCTGGACATCCAACCATCATCCAACCATCATTCATCTCACATCCAACCATCATCCAACCAAGTGACAGACACAAGAAGATAGCTGAATTAGAGAGAAAACTAGAGTAATGGTGCGTTCACACCGAACGCGATTTCAGCGTCAGGAGCAGCAGGTTTACATACAAAGTCTATGGTGGACGCGCTTCAAGCAACGTCGGGAAGTTCTGCGGCACCTCAAGCGCGATTAGTGCGATTTGGACGATTTGGATGATCTGAGCGTCGACGCTCAGATCGTCCAAATCGTCCAAATCGCGCTGCTCTAATCGCGCTTGAGGCGCCGCAGAACTTCCCGACGTTGCTTGAAGCGCGTCCACCATAGACTTTGTATGTAAACCTGCTGCTCCTGACGCTGAAATCGCGTTCGGTGTGAACGCACCATAACTTCAGCGATTTGGACGATCTGAGCGTTCGACGCTCAGATCGTCCAAATCGTCCAAATCGCGCTGCTCTAATCGCGCTTGAGGCGCCGCAGAACTTCCCGACGTTGCTTGAAGCGCGTCCACCATAGACTTTGTATGTAAACCTGCTGCTCCTGACGCTGAAATCGCGTTCGGTGTGAACGCACCATTACGACTGTTACTTCGGTTCTATGAATCCCGGATGACCGCCAGAGGCGGTGCTTAAAGCACCTAATGATCACTCTTGCGCATGCTCATGTAGGGGTCACCTCGAGTGAAGAAACAGGAGTTACTGCCTCAAAGCAGGTCTCGAAAGGCCTGGGAGAAGGCAGGAACACTGAACTCTATTTTAGGCCATGACAGGTCATTTCAACCTACAAGAGGGTTTCAGTTCTCTTAATCAGATAACGGACAGAAACAATCTTTTCTGTTCGTGATTCATTTGTGGTTTAACTAAGAATGTTATGCATTTGTTAATCATAATAATGACATGTCACAAAGAAGATGCAATCACTTCTATTCTTTTATCGTGCCTAAAAGATTAATTAATGGTATAAAATCACAGAAAATCATCACCATGTTTTCATTGTGTTTTTATATAAATCACTGTTTATTTTACTGGAAACATCAGTAGTATAATTTTGAGTTTTCTTAAGAAAATCTTACATTTATCTGGACACCAAGTTCAGACTGATTATTTAAACAGAAATGTTAATTAATCATCATAAATGTTTTACAGTGATTTCTCTTAGAGTCTATCAGAAAGAAAGCCAGAAGATATTATCAAATGTCTGTTTAAGCAGCTACAGAATGTGACCTTGCACAGGCGCCTCTGGCAAAGTCTTATCTCTCTTTTCTTTCTCTGACTCATGCTAAACGCCTGAGGGCGGATCTAAGGCTCCGACTCTTACTAACACGGACGTCTTAGAGAGACACACAGGACTCTACTTCCTGAATGCCGAAACGGGAAGACCGGCTTTTTCTCTCCGGAGAACGCCAGGCCTCGGATCTCGCCCATTCAGCCAAATAGAGTGAAATCTGATGGCCGGACAGAAGCACGCCGCTTCTGTCCACCAGAGACACAAGTCTCACAAAAAGTGTTTTTGCCTCCCGAGGGGAGGACTTTTATTTTGAAGGACGACCGGAACTTTCAGCTGGAATCTTTCTAGCCTGGGCTGAGACAGACTAAAAGTCACCTGAAAAACACCTACTCGCCAAGGACCAGCGAGTACAAGCTTCCTGGATGGTCGAGGTGAGACAGTTCATACCAGGGGTGCCTAGAGAAGACATCACCAGGTAAAAGCTGACATGTTCGGGGTGACGGGTCATGTTGAAGTCTGAGCGCAGAGAGGACGTGCTAATCCGGTTACCACAGACACTTTCCAAAATAAAAGCAGAAACACTAATCCTTAATTTTCACCCCTTTTCTTACCCTTTCTTTGCCAAACCTAAGTTAAAGTGCCAGTAGAATTGTTTAGTTATTACATCAGAGCTGACGTTTTACTGTTCTATATATAAGTAATCTGAGTTTTAATGTGAACTGAAACTCGGACGCGAGTTTTTATCTCATTTAACTTTGACGCTTGTTATAGRAAAKCCACAATCAGGTGTAACTTATGATTTGTTCAATTTGTGTAAATAAATGATTGCATAATCTTTTATGAATCAACTTGAACTCGTCTGACGTTCCCTTATTGTGGCCACTCTTCACTTTGTACAGTCAAATATTAAAGTAATGAGAAAACCTTGGTCAAATTTCCTCTCAAAACTTTGTTATGAGAAGATGTAGGGGGACCTATTTTACATAAGTCACTTCCCTTACACTCAGGTCGAGAATCTTATACCATCATGGTCACGTGTGACACCCGGTGACACCGGTAAGTCTATAAAGCCACGTGACAATGCCAGCTCAGTCCCTTAATCTTCTCGCGAAACACGATGATTCCGAGGGACTGAACGCTCAGGCGGTCATCTGGGATTCATAGAACCACAGTTACAGTCGTAACTCTCATTCTATTTCATCCCTACTGACCGCCAGAGGCGATGCTTAAAGCACTGGATGACGACTACCAACAGAGTCCTGAGGAATCGTACCCCGTAAAGAAACAATCTTAAAACATGCCCACCTCACTGGGATGACGAACGCTGGGACAGGATCCCCTCCAGCGGGTGAACGGCAGCCAGGTTCACCCTGTAAAATCTAGCAAAAGTATTCGGAGATGACCAGGAGGCTGCTGCACAGATAGCCTCCAGATTGACCCCAGTCATAGCGGCCCATGACGCACTAATGCTCCTGGTGGAATGGCACCATACACCAGCAGGAGGTTGGTGGCCCTGTAGAATGTACGCTTGTTCAACCACCTCCACAATCCAACGCACCAGACGCTGTTTGGAAAGGGCCTGTCCCTTTAGTGGCCCTGCATAGCAAACAAACAAACTATCAGACTGCCACAGAGAAGCTGTCAGTCTGACATATGCTTCCAGTGCCCGAACAGGGCAGAGAAGTTCATCAGGCCCACGTGTGTCAAAGCGAGCAAGCTGCAGGGGCACAGAGTGGCTCACAGATGAGGCCACCTTAGGAAGAAATGTCACGTCAGGCCAAAGAGTAACGCCAGAGCCAGCTGGGTTCCAACGGCAACAGGACTCGTGAACAGACAGCGCATGTAGTTCACCCACCCGCTTCGCCGAAGCCATAGCAAGGAGAAAGGCAGTCTTTTTTGACAAATACTCAGGGCTCACCTCCGCCAAGGTCTCAAACGGGGGAGATTGCAGTGCAGTGAGGACGAGAGAGAGGTCCCACACAGATACGACAGGGCGTAAGGGAGGGTGCAGGCGCCGGGCACCCCTCAGAAACAAAGAAACGTCCTTATTACAGCCTATTGTCTCACCATCCACCACCACATGCCAACAAGAAATGGCAGCAACATAAACTTTCAGAGTGGACAGAGACCGACCTTGAGAAAGCAGTGCTTGAAGGAAGTTTAAAATAACTGAAATAGAACAGTGTACAGGATCCACATGTCTAGCACGACACCAACTGACAAAAACTTTCCACTTATGAGTGTACACCAGTCGTGTCGAAGGGGCCCTGGCGTTAGTCATTGTATGCCCGACATCTCCGTCATACTCTGAGAAGGAGATGCCGGGCCTCGTAGCGGCCAAACCCAGAGCTGGAGGCGACTGGGATTGGGATGCAGGATCTGACCCCCCAGCTGTGAC